CCGGTCGAGGTCCTCGACGTTGACGCCGGCGACGTCGCGTACCTCCAGCGCCCTGGCGGGGGCGATCGATCGCAGGGCTTGAAAGTCCCCCTCGTCGAAGCCGCCGAGGTGTCCCGACGTCATGTCACAGGCGACGACTGGCGCTCCGATCCGATGATCGGGACCCCGCGTGCCGGCAGGAGCACGCCGTCCTGCCAAAGGTGTCCCCGGCCCAGGTTGCTCGCAGATGGCCCCAAGGACGTCCCCGGATGCCCAGATCGCCTCTGCAGCACCCGGCAAGACTCCCAGGGTGAGACGAGAGCTGGGGCCACCCTGGGCCAAGGATACCTCCCTGGCCACACCCTATCAGAGGCCGCCCAGACAGCTGGGGTCGGGGCATCGCACGGTCATGGCCGGTGCATCGGCGAGTCCACGGCGATTTCGGGGTGGGAGAGCTCTGGCTCCAGGGCGGGCCGCAGCGCCGAGGCGGCGGCGAGCCTCCGACCCCAAGTGGGCGAGCTGAGATGCTCGAGCAGCTTGGAGACTTGAGCCGACGCATCTGCGGAGGGGGAGGGGCGGAGAGAGGCTTGGACTGGAGAGTACGGCGGGCTCGTGTCCGAGGTAGCGCAAAAGGGGAAGGCGGCAACAGGAACCATCCGCTGCGGGAGCAGCGGATGGTTCCTGTTTCTCTGGCGCTGCATGCATGAGCAGCCGCCGAAGCGGTCGCAAGACCTGTTCCGCCCGCCCGTTCTGGAATCTTCAGCTTATGGGGGCTATGTTTGGTGCCTCTGCATGGTAAGAAAATGCCCCTGGCGAACGACCCAACCATTTTCAGTTGTGGGTACCACGCCTCTGAGGATCGTCTTCGGTGGAATTCCCTACGGAGCCACGGAACATGTGCGGGGTCTGCCGAATGGGTGGGGAACAGCATGCGAGTCCTGCCACTGGAGCGTTCAGTAGAGCTCCATATGGGCCAACGAACTGTCTTGGGGTGCACCTAACTGGGCAGGGAACCACATGCGAGGACGACCACTGGGGCCTCAGGTGGAGCTTCCTGTGGGGCCACGAACAATGTGAAGGGTGTGCCGAAATGGGCTTGGAACAGCATGCGAGGACGGCCACTGGGGCCTTTGATAGAGTTCGCTATTGGCCGAACTGGTCGGCGGTCCGCATGCGAGGACGGTGTGCCGAAATATGCGGGGAACCGCATGCGATGATAGACATTGGGGCCTTAGGTGAAGATCCTGGTGAGGCCACGAAACGTTTGAAGACTGCCGAAATCGGCGGGGCGAGTCCAGCCACTGGGCCTTAGGTGGAGCTCCTTGTAGGTCCAAGAAGCAAGCGGGGTGAAATGGGCGGTGAGCCGCATGCGAGTCCAGCCACTGGGGCCTTAGGTGAAGCTCCATGTGTGGCCACAGAGCGTGTGAGGGGTGTGCTGGAATAGGCGGGAACCGCATGAGAGTACAGCCACTGGGGCCTCAGGTGGAGCTCCCTATGGGGCCACGGAACATGTGAGGAGCGTGCTGGCATGGGCGGGGAACCGCATGCGAGTCCATCCGCTTGGGCCTTAGATGAAGCTCCCTGCTTGGCCACGAAGCGTGTGAGGGGTGTGCTGGAACGGGCGGGGAACCGCATGCGAGTCCAGCAACTGAGGCCTCAGGTGGGGCTCTGCATGGGGCCACGAAGCGTGTGGGATGTGTGTGCGTATGCCGAAACGGACAGGAGACCGCATGCACGTCAAGCCACTGGTGCCTTAGGTGGAGCTCCCGATGGGGCCACGCAGCGTTTGGGGGATGTGCCGACTTGGGCGGGGAGCCGGATGCGAGTCCAGCCACTGGGGCCTTGGGTGGAGCTCCCTAGGGGATCGTTCTTTTACTCTGGCCGGTACCACGGGCAACGGTAACACTTGGGCGGGGTGGGGTTCGTCGGGGCGGGGGCGCGCCGCGATCGCAGTAGTATGCGCCCGTGCAGCGCTCTGTGCCTGCGAGCACAACGGTGGCCTGGGATTTGATCGAGCGCGCAAGGCCTGAGATCACCGGCAAGGCACATGCGAGCACCGCAATGGCCTGCGAGCGACCACTGTGCGCCTGCGACAACAACACCCGAGCACGAGCACCCCAGTGCGAGCAGTGAGCTTGGGAACACCACAGGCAGCGCACTGCGCGTCTGCGAACACCACCTGTGAGTCTGCGACCACCACGCCGCGCGGGCAGGGACCATAGAAATGCAGATCATCCTCTTCCTCTCCCCATTCCTCCTCCTCCTCTTCCCTTTCTCCTCCTCCTCCTGCTCCTCCTGCTCCTCCTACTCCTCCTCCTCCTCCTCCTCCTCCTCCTCGTCCTCGTCCTCCTTCTCCTCCTCCTCCTCCTCCTCCTCCTCCTCCTCCTGCTCCTCCTCCACGTCCCCCTCCCCATCCCCCCGTCTCCCCCAGGTGGTGGCTGCTGGCCACTAGGAAACGAAGATAAGGGACGAAGGGGCTCATGTGGCCACGGAGCGCATCGACCAGCAGCAGGATCCCCGACGATGGAGCGAGGGACGGCCCGGCAATGAGCTCATGGAGCAGGCGGGCGGCGGTGGTGAGCAGGGCAGCCGAAGACGAGGACGAGGACGAGGACGATGACGAGGACGACCACCACGACGACGACGACGACGCTAGACGACAGACGAGAAACGATGACGACGACGACGTCGACGACAACGATGACGACGCCGACGACAGACGACAGGCGACAGACGACAGACGACAGGCGACAGACGACAGAAGACAGGCGACAGACGACAGACGACAGACGAAAGACGACAAACGACAGGCGACAGGTGACGACGACGACGACGACAACTGACGACAACGACTGACGACGACGACGACCACCACCACCACCACCAACGACGAGGATGACGACAACGACGACAACGACGACTGACGACAACGACTGACGACCACCAGCGACGATGATGACGACGACGTCAACGACGACTGCGGGTGCGGCAGCGACAGCGGCGGCAGTGACGACGACGAACGGCAAGGTTGATGACGGTGGCGGCGGCGGCGGCCGCGGCGGCGGCGGCTGGATAGAAACCACCACCGTGCTTGCAGCGGTGTGTGCGTGTCGGACTCTTACCTCACGCGTGCTGGTCCTCACCTCCCTCGTCCTTTTTCGTCGTCGCCGTCCTCTTCCTCCTCCTCCTCCTCCTCCTCCTCCTCCTCCTCCTCCTCCTCTTGCCCCTCCCTCCCTCGCGAACATCACATTCACCTGCGAACGCCGCAGCGTGCCCGCGAACACCACAACGCCAGCAAGCACCACGCGCATGTACACTAGCACGCCAGACCCTGTCCGAATCGCAAAAGTCGGCGGTGGACAGACCTCCCTTTAGTAAACCACAGTAAACCACCCTTTTGGTGAAAACGGTCTAGGACCGCAACCGACGGACCTGGACCCGCAAAGATAACGGCCGTGACGCCCTCACGCGAACCGAAAGCGGCCAATTCACTAACCGCATGCCGATGATAATAAAGGGACCCCCCCCCTTCAGTGTTTAGAGTTGATTATCGTCGCCCTATACAAAATTCAAATTGGGCGGCGAGCGCTGAGGCCGAACTTCATTATCACCTCGAAACGCTATGTTGAGATAGCAACATCAAGCGATGTTGCTATCCCCGCGCGCGCCTGAACTTTTTTATCCCTGGGGTTGATTATCCATGGAAAATGAAGCACATGAGCTACCCTACACGAGCACTTGAAAAAACAATTTTCATAAAGCGTTTGTAAATTAAAATTGGTAGATTTGGAACTTTGGATGTTTCCTTTCTTCGTCCTCTTCTTATTCTCCTCTTATTATTCTTTCTTAGCTTTTTCTACTGTATTATTCTTCTTTTATATTTCTCTCTGTCCCCACGCTCGCCTGAACTTTTTTATCTCTGGGGTTGATTATCCATGGAAATTGAGGCACATGAGCTACCCTACACGAGCACTTACAAAAAAACAATTTTCATAAAGCGCTTGTAAATAGAATCTAATACATTTGAAACTCGAGATTTGTTCTTCTCTTCGTCCTTCTCCTCCTCCTATCATTTCTTTTTATGTTATTATTTATTATTTTTATTTTTCTTTTTTATATATAGCTTCCTCCATTCCAGCGAGATAAGCCATTGTTGAGGATATTTCTACGAAAACTAAACGCCAAGGATGTCTCAAAACGTGCTCGGCTTGGTCTCCCCTTGATCATCTCTTACTTCGAGATTATGCTGAGGTCTGCTGGGCTATTTTTATTATCTCTCCCTGAACCCCGAACTTTATTATCCCCTAGTGTTTATTCTCACGGGCATGAGGTTAATCGACGTGTCAGGGTAGGAGGTCGATCAACCTCCGAAAAAGAGCGAGCAGCGCAACGCGTGCTCGAACACCAGGAAAAAAACTGCATGTGCCACGGTACCACGTGATAATCGCGGCATACCTGTGAAAAACGCAACATGCCTTCGGGCACCTGCATGTCGGGGGGGGGTCCAGGGCCGCCTTCCAGGTACGATCGTTGCCATTACCAGGGGCGGGGGGGTGCTGGTAATGAGCGCTACCCGCCAGAGGGTAAAACACTACGAATCCCCATGGGACCACGAAGCGTGTGAAAGGTGTTCCCGAATGGGCAGGGAACCGCATAGGAACACAGCCTCTGGGGCCTTAGGTGGATCTTCCGATGGAACAACAAACAGTATGAGGGGTGTGCCAAACTGGGCGGGGAACCGCATGCGAGGGTGGCCACTGTGGCCTTAGGCGGGACTCTGTCTGGGGCCACGACGCGTGCGAAGGGTGTGCCGAAATATGCGGGGAACCGCATGCGAGGAGCGAGGATAGCCATTGGGGCCTTGGGTGAAGCTCACCACGGGCCACGAAACGTGTGAAGGGTGTGCCGAAATGGACTGGGAACCACTGGGGCCTTGGGTGAAGCTCAGTGGGGCCACGAAGCATGTGAGGGATGTGCCGAATCCGAACGAGTCCAGCCACTGGTGCCTTAGGTGGATCTCCCCATGGTGCCACGAAACGTGTGATGGTTGTGCCGACTTGATCGGGGAACCGCATGCGAGTCTAGCCACTGTGGCATTAGATTGAGCTCCCTATGGAGCCGCGAAACGTGTGAGCTAGACATTGGCATGCGGAGGGCAGAGGCGGGGATGAGAGGAGGGAGGAGGGGCGGGGGGCAGCGGGAGTGGGAAGGACGCGGGCCGATGTCTCTTCAACACTAGGACCCAACACCACAGGATGGTTGGGAAACAGGGTTCGGTTTATAGGCAGGGCCTGGTGGAAGCAGCCTCAAGGAGACATGTTGGATACTTCTCTTACTGGCGAGTTCGCAGACCCCGCCTAGCGCTTCCTGGAAAGGCCCGCCTCGCCATGTTGTTATGAAGAGGCTCCCTCCGCCTTCCTCTATGCCGACTCCCGCATCCTGGTCAGCGAGTTTCTAGGTAATCAAAGACGTCATCCTGTTTCCCTTGTTGTTCCTCATCCTCCTCATCCTCCTCCTCCCCCTGGGCTCGTCTGTGATATTAGCTTTGGCGAGGGGTGGTGTGTGCAACGTTTTTTTCCGGACTAGGCGACAGCTCCTCTTGCACCAGGTTAGCCCCCAGCTCGTTGACAAAGGTAAAAAACATGGACTAGACTCGTTAAGGGATCTACTGCTTGTGTACTTTGTGGAAGCACGTGCTCCGTTCACCCCAAGCTTGGGAAGAAAAAAGAGCATTGCCACGGACCCGTGGTTATTTGGGATGTTGTTCCTCACCATGGTTTTCCTCGTACCCTTCCAGGAGACCCTAAACCCACCAAACATGTTGCTATCTCTTGGGGGCGCATCTTTCACGTCCGCCGTCTTCTGCTGGCCTTACGCTCGCTTCCACTGGCGGAAGTGGCCTCGTTTTACTTCCGCCGCCTTCCGCCCGCCTTCCACTGCCTCCCTCCCGCCGAGGAAGAGAAATCAACTCCTTCGATCCTCGAAGGCGAGGCCCTTTTTGGTATGAGATTACATCCAGTAGACATGATGAAGCCCAAGGGCATCTCGGGCAGCACCTGCCATTCGTCGGCCCGACCCGAAGCCTCAGATCCAATCCATGCAGCAACACTTGGACGCTGTGATCCGAAAGATCGGTGCTAAGCCTGCGGGTGCTGGCGCCGGGGGCCCATGAGCTCAGGAGGAAGTGTTTCGCGATCGAATGCATCTTGGCCGAAAAGAACGCCGACCTGTCCATCAAGCTCAGATTGATCAATGTCCGGCGCAACAGCCTCCTCGAGGCGGCGTGTGCGATCCGGTTTGCCCTCAAAGCAGACGGACCAGCGCGAACAAAACGGCATGGGATGAAAAGTTATCATCCCATCACCATGCTCCTCATCAGAATCCTCCTCCTCCTCCTCGTCCTCATCCTCACCATCATCACCACCATCACCCTTACCCATAAGCACAATCATCATGCTCATCCTCAACATCAACCTCATCATCTCCTCCTCGTCCTCCGAGGACGACTAGGAAGTCAACGGACGACGACGGTGACGACGCGACAGCACGATGACGGCGACTCCGCCCGGGCCCCGCACCGCGAGTCGAAGCCCTCGCGGAGGATGGCGAAGACGGACTCCCACTTGCAGCCGTGGAACAGGAGCACCTCGCCCGCCGAGCTCACCAGGGAGCTGGAACTCACACACACACACACACACACACACACACACACACACACGCGGCTGGATCCGCATGTGGAGCATGTGGGGGCCACTTGCTGAACACACACCGTGGAGGGGATCACCGTGCCTGGCTGCGCGAAGGCCGAGAGCTGGAAAGACGCGCGGCCACGTGCGGCCGCGTCCTGTGTATCCGGCCTCCCTGCAGCAGGAAGGCAACGGGTCGTGCGGGAAAGGCGCCAAGGCAGGCTTTCTCACTGCTTTCGGGGCCCTGGGGCCCTCCAATGGGGCGACGGGGCCGTCAGAGAGCGCATCAGGAAAGCCCCCGGGTCCAGGACCTGATTCCGCCCGGACATCCTTCACCCCCCTTCATTCCCTCCCTCCTTCCCTCCCTCCTCCCTCCCTCCATCCCCCCCCTCCCTCCTCCCTCCCTCCTCCCTCCTCTCCTCCTCCTCCTCCTCCTCCTCCTTCTCCTCCTTCTCCTCCTCCTTTTCCTCCTCCTCATCCTCCTCCTTCGCCTCCTCCTTTTCCTCCTCCTCCTCGTCCTCCTCATCCTCCTCATGTTTGACGTTGGCCAGACTCTAAGCATCGAGGCTCGCATCGCTCGCAAGGAGAATGCGAAAAACTTAACCGACTTAGGCGCGATGGCCTACAAGACCTAGGACCTAGGGTGGAGGAGCGAGAAAAAAACCAGCGTAAAGAAGGAAATGATGAACAGTGGAAAGGCCCTCTAAGGCATAGATCCTCCTCCTCCTCCTCCTCCTCCTCCTCCTCCTCTCCTCCTCCTCCTCCTCCTCCTCCTCCTCCCTCCTCCTCCTCCTCCTCCTCCTCCTCCTCCTCCTCCTCCTCCTCCTCCTCCTCCTCCTCCTCCTCCTCCTCCTCCTCCTCCTCCTCCTCCTCTCCTCCTCCTCCTCCTCCTCCTCCTCCTCCTCCTCCCTCCTCCTCCTCCCTCCTCCTCCTCTCCTCCTCCTCCTCCTCCTCCTCCTCCTCCTCCTCCCTCTCCTCCTCCTCCTCCTCCCCTCCTCCCTCCTCCTCCTCCTCCTCCTCCTCCTCCTCCTCCTCCTCCTCCTCCTCCTCCTCCTCCTCCTCCTCCTCCTCCTCCCTCCTCCTCCTCCTCCTCCTCCTCCTCCTCCTCCTCCTCCTCCTCCTCCTCCTCCACTCCTCCTCCTCCTCCTCCTCCTCCTCCTCCTCCTCCTCCTCCTCCTCCTCCTCCTCCTCCTCCCCTCCTCCTCCTCCTCCTCCTCCTCCTCTCCTCCTCCTCCCCCTCCCCCTCCCCTCTCCCCTCCTCCTCCCCCTCCTCCTCCTCCTCCTCCTCCTCCTCCTTCTCCTCATCCTCATCCTCATCCTCATCCTCCTCCTCCCCCTTTGAGGGATTGATGTCTTCGGTCTTTCGATTTACCCCTCCCGCCGAGTTGAAGGACCCCTGAGGAGACGAGCGCGACAAGGGTTACGGCGACGACGACGCCGACGGCGACGGCGCCGAAGATGACGACGCCAACGACCCGACGATCCAACGGCAACCACGACGCCAACGCCGACGCCGCCGACGACGGCGACAATGACGGCGACGACGGCGTCGGCGACGGCGGCGGCGACTCCCACAACCGCGGGACGGGAGCACCCGAGAGGCATAACCAGAGGAGCAGGAGGAGGGAGGAACTGAGGACGAACGAGGAGACGGGGGGTGGGGGGTGGCGGAGGAGGAAAAATGGCCACTGCTTGCTCGACCCCCGACGTCGCCATTGTTGGCAACGTCGACTCCCAAAGGTCTGGACCCCTTTCCCGGGACCCATGTTCCATCCTGCGTCGTTTTCTGACGGTCCTGGGGCCCGGTAAGGACCCCCGGAGGCCGAAACTAGCAAAACACTTCGCGACGCCACTCTTTCACGACGCGAGGGGGTCTGGGAGCTCGAAGCGCCTGGCCTCCTGTTTCGCCCCTCGCGGACCTCCGGGCGCCCTCCGAGGCCCCCGGAAGGGGAGACCCCGGAAGCCTCCAGGGCTTCACATGGGGAGCCTCGAGGCCTCACAGGGGGGCCTCGGGAAGCCCCTGGGGCCTCCTGGAAGCAGAAACGGCTGCATGGATGCGTCGCCGCGCCGTTTGTCCTTTTGAGGCGCCCAAGTGGACGACGCCGACACCACGGCAGTCCCACGAAAAGCCCTGCACCCCACGCCCCAGGTGGACGAAGCCAGCACCGCGGCAAACCCCACGGCAAGCCCGCCGCGCCCGAGGCGGAGTTTGCCCTGGTGTCCGCGGCGCCCTCCCCGAGACACACTGCCACTTACTGCCACGGACCCCGACCGTGAAGGACAAGTGGGCCTGACGTGCGAGAAAGAGGAAAGCAGAGCAGATGACGCCTACAGGGCGCACTATGCTGGCTCTCGTGTTGTCCGTTTGACGTTGTGTGACGCTTTGTCGGCGCGTCTCCAGCCATCCTGGAGCTCTCCTGGGAGACCTCACAGGGGGGCCTTCGAGAAGCCCCTGGGGCCCTCCTGGAAGAAGGAAGCACTGCATAAGCTTACGTCGGGCCTGTCCCCCTACAGGGGGATTTTCGACGAAAAATAAAACATACCCCCAAAATAATCAAAACATAGTCCAAACATAGTATGAGGACTATTTTTGGAATCTGTTTTTACTTTTTTGGGGGGCATTTTGGGGTATTTCTCAAATTTGTCATCGAAAATCCCCCTGCAGGGGGACACGCCCGACATGAGCATGAGCATACTTCTCGCGGGTCCGCGCGGACCTCCGCACGCCTGCGCCTGGGGGAGAACACAGAGGTGCCGCTGCCGCTGCGCCCCATGACCTCTCCCGGGGTGCGCTATATGACCAGACCAGGATGTCGAGGCGAACTCAGCGGTGGCGACGAGGGCCCCCCCAGGATGCCCCCCCAAAAAAAGGAGGACGAGGGCAGGGCCGCGGCACGGGAACAACATCTCCTCCTCCGAACATTCACGCAGCGAGTTCCTCGTCGGCTCTTCTGGAGGCCTGGAAATTGGCACCAACGCTCGCACAGGGGCTTGCATCTACACGAGGAAGATGCTCCTAGATTTCGGTGTTGGTGGCAACATCTCGGTCACCTTGGAAGCCAGAAGATCACCACCATCACCGAGATCGGGATCCTCTTCCCTCGGTGGAGGCACACCGCCGATCCTGGTGTTGGTGTCAACCTCTAGGCCTGCGACTCTTGCCATGAGCTGGACAGGTCATGAGGGAGAGGCGTCCTGGGGCGCTTCGCCGACTTCGGCCTCTCGGCAGCCCTTCCCAGTCCCTGAGGAAGGCCGCGAGAGGGGGCCCCGGCCCCCCAACCCAAAGCGGGGGATGATGGAGGGGTCCAGAGGAAGAGAAGTACGGCAGGTTCGTGCGGCGTCGGCGCGCGCAAAGGTTTTTGACGCGAGCGTTCCACCTTGAGTCGATCGCGGCCCCAATCGTTCAAGGTTGAATCCCGTCAGATCCAGAGGCGTCAGCGTGTCCCTCGGTGCTTCCGCGTCGCAGAATTCAACCTTGAACTCCTTCGTGGGCGTCGCCAGGCCGCCAACGCCACACGAACCTACCGTAGGCAGAGGATGAAGATGAGGACCAGGACAACGACGACGACGGCGACAAGAACTGGAACTGCACTCCTCGCTGCGACCATCGTCGTCGCAATCGCAATCGTAATCGGCATCGCCGTTGTCGGTCGTTGGTCGTCGGTATTGTTTAGTCGGTCGGTCGGTCGGTCGGTCGGTCGGTCGTCGTCGTCGTCGTCAATTGTCGCCGTTCGTCGTCGGAAGTCCTCGATCTCGTCAGACGTCGTCGTCGTCGTCGCCGTCGCCAGTCATTCGTCGTCGACGACGTCATCGTTGTCGTCGTCGTCGCCGTCGCCAGTCATTCGTCATCCATCGACGGGGCTGTCCGTCACCAGTCTTCCGTCGGCGCCCGCCGCTGTCGCCGTCCCTCATCTGCCGCCGTCACCCGTTCCCGTCTCTGCTCGTCGTCACTGCTCGTGGTCGATCGCCGTCGCGGCTCAGTCCACACTCCCTCTTTGACTACCCACCAAGCCACCCCAACCCAACCGAAGTAGCAAATGGGCCTGTCAAGTTCCGGTGGGGAGACGCTTCGGAACGCCGAGAAACCGCCATGGAACCGTACACCCCCCAACCCGAAAATTGGGTCTAGGACCTTCGGGTTTGGTTGGGGTGGCTTGGTATGTAGTGGCTCGCCTCGTTCAGCCGCGGGGAGTTCGGGTCCGTCCGCACGCTGATGGAGTGCTCGAGCTCGGGCACCCCTCGGCGGCACTTGCGACAGGGGCGCGGGAGCGGCGCGGGGGTGGGGGCGAGGAGGAGGAAGAGCAGGGTCTGCGACGAGGAGGATGTGACGCGAGCGATGGCGTGCTTTCCCTTCTCTTCTTCCTCCCCTTATGCCTCGCTCGTCGTCCTCCTGCTCATCCTCCTCCTCCTCCTCCTCCTCCTCCTCCTCCTCCTGCTGTTCCTCCTCCTCCTCCTCCTCATCATCCTCCTCCCTCCTCCTCCTCCTCCTCCTCCTCCTCCTCCTCCTCCTCGTCTCATCATCATCATCATCATCATCATCATCATCATCAATCATCATCATCATCATCATCATCATCATCATCATCATCATCATCATCATCATCATCATCATCATCATCAGCATCATCATCATCATCATCATCCATCAGCAGCAGCAGCATCATCATCATCATCATCATCATCATCATCATCATCCTCATCCTCATCCTCATCCTCATCCTCATCCTCATCCTCATCCTCCTCCTCCTCCTCCTCCTCCTTCCTCCTCCTCCCCTCCTGATCTTACCTCCTACTCATCCTCTCCTTCTGCTGATGCTGCTGCTGTTGCTGCTACTGCTGCTCCTGCTCCTGCTAATCTTCCTCCTCCTCATCATCATCACCATAAGCATCATCAGCATTATCATCAACATCATCATCAGCATGATGATCATCATCATCATCATCATCATCATCATCAGCATGATGATCAGCATCATCATCATCACCATCATCATCATCAGCATCATCATCAGCATCATCATCATCAGCATCATCATCATCAGCAGCAGCAGCAACATCATCATCATCATCATCATCATCATCATCATCATCATCATCATCATCATCATCATCATCTTCATCATCATCATCATCATCTTCATCATCAGCAGCATCATCATCATCATTATCATCATCATCCGCCTCCTCCTCCTCCTGCTCCTGCTAATCTTCCTCCTCCTCCTCCTCCTCTGTCCTCGCTCCTCTCTCCTCTCTCCTCTCTCCTCTCTCCTCTCTCCTCTTTCCTCTCTCCTCTTCTCCTCCTCCTCCTCCTCCTTCTCCCTCCCTGCGCTCAGAGAAAGGAGCAGCAGCGAAACGATGAAAACCCAGGACGCATCAGCGAGCCTGCAGTGCATCGTGCCATCCAAGAGTCTCCTCCTCGGCAATTCCTAGCAAGAGTCCGATTCACTGCCGGAGGAGCCCAACAGGCGAACGTGCCCCAGGGGCGATGCGGCGGAACAGGACACCGAGATGGAGGAGGCGGATGAAAGAAGGCAAGCAGGAGGATGGGGCAAGTGAACGCGCTTTTGTGGAGGTGGCGAGCAACGACGACGACGACGACGACGACGACGACGACGACGACGACGACGACGACGACGGCGGCGACGACGGCGGCGACGACGACGACGACGACGACGACGACGTCGATGATGAGGACGACGACGACGAGGACGACGACGCCGTCGCCGTCGGCGACGACACCGACGACGACGACGACGACGACGACGCCGTCGCCGTCGGCGACGACACCGACGACGACGACGAAGACGTTGGACGACGTCGGCGACGCTGGCGGCGACGGCCACGCTGACGGCAAACACGACGACGGCGCGGCGGGACGGCACGGGCCGGGACGAGCGCGCCCGTGCGGTCTCCGGGTCGGTTGGCCCTGAGCTGGCCCAGCTCCTCGGGGCTGGGGGAGGGGGGAGGGGGCGAGGCGAGAAGAAGGCGAGGTCGGAGGTGAGGGGGTGAGATCGAAGTGGAACGGAGAGCCCCCCTACCGGGAAATCGATTTCGGTTTCGTGTTCGTGCGTGCCGTGCGTGCGGGCGAGGCAAGCTGCGTGGGCGGGCGAGGATAAAGTCTCCTGTGGCTGAGGCGCGGCCGGACCAAATGTCTCCCTTCCGGGCGGCCGGGGGCCCGCGGTGTCCCGCCTGTGTCCCGCTGGTGTCCCGTGTGGCTGAGGCGCGGCCGGACCAAATGTCTCCCTTCCGGGCGGCCGGGGCCCCGCGGTGTCCCGCCGGTGTCCCGTCGGTGTCCCGTCGGTGATGATGATGATGATGATGATGATGATGATGATGATGATGATGATGATGATGATGACGATGCTGATGATGATGATGTTGACAACGATGATGATGATGGTGATGATGATGGTGGTGATGATGGTGAGTTCGGTAGTGAGCCCGAATGTGAGATCGATTGTGAGATCGATTGTGATATCGATAGTGAGGTCGATAGTGAGACCCAATGTGAGATCGATAGTGAGATCGATAGTGAGTTCGATAGTGAGATCGATAGTGAGACCGAATGTGAGATCGATAGTGAGTTCGATAGTGATATCGATAGTGACATCGATAGTGAGATCGAACGAGAGGTCGATCATGACTTCGATAGTGAGTTCGATAGTGAGATCGATAGTCAGATCGATTGTGAGATCGATTGTGAGATCGATTGTGATATCGATTGTGATATCGATAGTGAGACCGAATGTGAGATCGATTGTGAGATCGATTGTGAGATCGATCGAATGAGATCGATAGTGATATCGGCAGTGAGATCGATCGTGAGACCGAATGTGAGATCGATCGTGAGATCGATAGCCAGATCGATTGTGAGATCTATTGTGAGATCGATTGTGATATAGATAGTGAGATCGTTAGTGAGATCGAGTGTGAGATCGATAGCCAGATCGATTGTGAGATTGATCGAATGAGATCGATAATGAGATCGATAGCGAGATCGATAGTGAGATCGATCGAGTGCGACGGTGGTCCCCCCCCCTCGCCTCCTTATCACCCGAAGGGTGGTCTATGCGGGTATTATAGGAGGGGGAGGAGGTATAGGAGGTGGACGGGGGGAGGAGGATGGAGGGGGGGACCGTGGAGCCAATTAGACGACTTGTGCGCCCGCGGCCCGGAGGCCCCCGCAGCCCGGCGGCACCTGGCGGACGGGCAGCGCGGCTGCCAGGGTGACCGACGGCATGCAGGCATCGCGCTACCATCAGGGACTCTGAGTGTGAAGGCCGCGGGCAGTGAGCGTGCAGTCGTCGTGCAGTGCGTACGGAGGCCTCGTGCCTTGGAGCGCGTGCAGTGGTCGTGCTAACTCCTGGGGAGCGAGGGGGGGGGGCTTCTGGACACGGTGAGCCTCGGCCAGGAGCAGGCTCCTCGACGCAGATCTGAGCAGCGGCCCGAAAGCCAAAGCCCCTCCTGGGCCCAGTGGTCCGTAAAGTCAGCAACACAAACTCACTTTATATGTATGAGTTTACCTGCACTCACGCAAACTATTCCAACGGTCAAAAATATAAATGTAATGGATGACATAATGTTGCAACTTTATATATAGTGGAAAATTCAAGTAAAAACAAATACACAATTCATAAACTGAACAAAACAATAATGTGAGGCCCTTCGTCCCAGGCGGCTGGGGACGCACTTGCCCTTGGCGCTCGCCACTGAGCGGCAGGCCTTTTCTGAAGCCGTCGGGGTGCGCCGACGCAGTAGCCCCCGCACGCGAGGTTCGCGATGAACGGCGGCCCTCATGAAGGAGGCGGATTGCCGCCAACACGTGCGCCTGGAGGACAAGGTTCAGGTCGAGGATGGTGGAGCACACGCTGCCCAAGCACTGCTCCGCCCTGGGCTCTAGATTCGGCAATGTGCACACCGAAGGGCATTTGCATCATCACAGCGCAGGTCGTGGTGCAGCTTGACCTTGGCGGCCACGGGCTGATCGCGCACCACGGCCTGCTGTGGCTTGGCCCTGCGGTGGGCCGTGTATCGACCGCCAGCACAGCGTCCCCCCCACAGCCTTGCACCACATCGCCACTCCAACGCTGCGCAGGAGGAAGACGACCGAAAGCGGCAGTCAGCTTGGCCGCTCCATCAGCATACTGCAAGCTTTTTTGCAATTAAAGCGACGCCGCCGTGTGGTTTTTGGCGATGCGTCATCGGTGACCGGCGCCTGCGAAGGTGGGAGGCGCATGTGCATACTTTGTTGAACGGTTCCTTACAAACTGACGAGCGCGCTGGGCTCTTGACCGAATGCCACCCCGCCCGCACACCTCGATGCGCCGGCTTCGAATTTGGAGGGCGGGGGGCAAGCTCCTCGCAGCACGACGTTAATCTTGTCTCGTCGCGAGCCGTGCAGCGCGGCTTCACCCGACGCGCCCGCAGCCACTGTCGCTGACGCCACTGTAGTCGCCGATCAGGTCCCACAGCACGCGCCACAGCCTAGGGGCCCATGGAGGAGGGGGAGGACGGACAAGGGAGGAGGAGCAGAGCCTTTGGGGCCCGTTTACTATTCGGCGGGGAAGGGGACGAGGAGGAGGAGGAGGATGAAGGAGGAGGAGGAGGAGGGGGAGGAGGGGAAGGAGGAGGAGGAAGAAGAGCAAGAGGAGAAGGAGGAGGAGGAGACCCACACCGAAAGAAGTAGTCTTCAACAAGCCTTCGAGGCCACCCCCAGAAACTCGCGACAACCATGCAGCGTTGAGGGCACGCGCTAGCGCGTCGCAGAGGGCCTTCCCACGTGATCCCAGTATTGGCCTATCCAGCCTATGTGGGAAAGCTCGATTGAGCGATACTGCGTGCATTCCGGTGCTGCGCTTGTCCCGTACGGTGGCGAGCTTCCTGCACGTGGGAGTACATGTTCGACGTCGGCGACACTTAGAGAGGCGAACGTGGGGAGCACGAGGAACTCTTGCCCCCAAGATCACACCGAAACCAGCGCTCTCCCCCAAGCTCGAGGGATTCAGGAACCAGGTAAGGAACTCGAGTCAAAACTTTCTTCTGACGCGCGTGCAGCACTTTCCTGTTGCCTACTGCAGCCACTACCTCCTGCACGTCCTGCTTATCCTCCTCCTCTCCTCCTCCTCCTCCTCCTCCTCCTCCTCCTCCTCCTCCTGCTCCTACTCCTCCTCCTCCTCCTCCTCCTCCTCCTCCTCCTCGTCCTCCTTCCCCTCCTCCCCACCCACATCCTCTTCCTCCTCCTCCTCCTCCTCCTCCTCCTCCTCCTCGTCCTCCTTCCCCCTCTATCCTCTATCCACTATCCTCTATCCTCCTTCTTCCTCCTCGTCATCGTATTCCTGCCTCCACAGTTGTTCTCCCCATCGTCATCTCCCTCCTGCACGGAGGCGCCTGTGCACACGCCTGAAGAATCCCACGCGCCCCAATTGGGTCCCCCCCTGGGAACCGTGGACACGTGAAAGTGCGTGCCCCGCGCGCACGCGCCAGCCGCATATTGCCCCCCCCCCCCCCCCTCCCCCCTCCGCGCACGCATTTTCACGCGTTAAGCAAGCCCCGCGCGCACGCGCCAGGCGCATGTTGGGTTCCCCCTTCCGCGCACGGACTTCCACGCGTAACGAATCCGACGCGCCCAATTTCCCCCCCCCCCCCCCCCCGCACGCACGCGCAAGGCGCATGTCGGGTCCCCTCCTCCGCACACGGCTTTTTTCATTGTGAAGAATCCAAGGAGCCTTCCCAGGGGGCCGTGGACCCGTGAAATAAGTCCCCCGCGTGTACGCACCAGGCGCATGTTGGGTCCCACCTGCACCCCAGGTGGGTTGTCCCCCTGGGAGCCGTAGACACGTGAAAGTGCGTGCCCCGCGCGCACGCGCCAGGCGCATGTTGCCCCCCCCCCCCCCCTCTCCGCGCATGCATGTCCACGCGCTAAAAAACCGACGCGCCGAATTGGGTCCCCCACTGGGGGCCGTGGACACGAAAATATACAAGCCCCGCGAGCACGCGCCAAGCGCATGCTCGCCCCCCCCCCCTCCGCACACGTAATTTCACGTGTGCTGAGTCCAGCGGGCCCAAGTTGGGTCCCCCGCCTGGGAGCAGTGGGCACGTGAAAATACGTACCCATCGCGCACGCGCAAGGCGCATGTTGGGTCACCCCCCCGCCCAAGTTGGGTCCACCCCCCTGGGGGCCGTGGGCACGTAAAAGTACGTGACCCGCGCGCACTTGCCAAATGCATGTTGGGCACCCCCTCCGCGCAGGGATCTTTATCGGCGCCGTGGACGTGCGAAAGTACGTGCCCCGCGCCCACGCGCCAGGCGCATGTTGGGTCCCCCCTCCGCGCACGCTTTGGTACTTGAGGAAATCCTCGCTGGCTAAATTGGGTCCCCCCTGGGGGCCGTGGACACTTGAAAATACGTGCCTCGCGCGCACGCGCCAGGTGCATGTTGGGTCGCCCCCTCCACGCGTTTATTTCTACGTGACAGAAATCGAGCTAAGCTGGGTCCCTCGCCTGCCGCCCCGTCGTGTTCAGAAACACGGAAAACACACGCCGAACGCAAGCGTGCCGAGACTGGTGTTGGAACCCCCCCACTCCGCACACGGATGTTTTGCGTGTCTAATCCGGGCGGGCCAAGTTGGGTCCCTCGCCCGCGGCCCAATCGTGGCCAGAAACATGCGAAAATACGTGCCGAACGCACGCGCGCCGAGACTCATGTTGGAGACTCCCCCTCCGCACACGTATTCTCACGTGTCCAATTTCGGCGGGCTGAATCGTGTCCCTCGCTTGCGACCCCGTCGTGGCCAGAAGCATGTGAAAACACGTGCCGAACGCACGCGCGCCGAGACTCCTTTTGGACACCCTCCCTCCGCACGCACCTCTTCACGCGTCCAGTGCTGGCGGGCTAAGTTGGGTATCTCGCCTGGGGCCCCACCGTGGCCAGAACTAGATGTCTTGTTTCTTGTGTTTTAACCGTGTTTAAAACAGAACTGGATGTCTTGTTTCTTTTGTTTTAACCGTGTTTAAATCAATAAACGAACAAACCGAAAAAAACAACAAAAAAACGTGCCTAATGCACGCATGCCGAGAGTGATGTTGGCGCCCCCCCTCCGCACACGCATATGTTACGTGCCTGAGTTCGACGCCTGCTGCTCGACACCCTTCTGGTGGAAGGCCTCTGGCACGCCAACGAAACATAATGCTTCGAGGGAGCCCTTCCTGGGGAAACGCCGACACCAGCATTCCGGACGTGATGGAGATGGGCCGACGTGTCGGCCAACGCCCAGATGAGTAGACGATTGGGATCTGATGGTAGTATTGTCTCGGCATATGACATGGCAACCGGATGCGCTCTTCAAGCGCACCTAAGCGAAATCGAAAGAACGAGTGGGCAGCAGCAGCAATGGAAGCACAAGCTCAAGACTGCCCCGCCGACCCGAGCATGAAGAGCAGAGAATGTTGCGAAAGCAAATAAGCACCAAATTTCATCCAGCTCATCGGTAGCACTGATAAGCGTCGTTCTCTTGATCGCATGGACAGATTCCGAATAGAAGCCCAAAAAGCTCGAACGAGCATGGAAGATCATCAAAGCTGCTTGGCTGCGTGGCCAAGGCCTGTTGCAGTAGAGTTTGGGGCGCTGACTACTGCCCTCGGGATGCAAGTGCGCCAGCTGATCTGAAATGTCATCCGCTCGTTTAGCTTGACAGTTCCAACACAATACAACAGCAATCAAGCGCCTGACCCACACAGTGGGGCGCGTTGCTGTGCGCCCGCGGTGGAACAGGTCCTGATATCCCCAAAACAACAAAAAACAATGATGGACACGCACGCGCGCGCGCCTGCAATCATATATTTATTACTTGTCCTCTTCCGGCGCTGTGAATCACGAGCGCGTGGTACGCTAACGGGATAACACACGCACGCGGGATTCCTCCGATCTGCGGAAGAGCCCAGTCAGCGGTTGAAACAATGGAGGGCTACGATGAAAGTGAGTAGTTGTCTTGTAAAGCCGCTTGCGACTCCCTGGGTGCCGCGCGTGGGCGAAGGCAGGGAAGAACAACCAGATGATGCACGCTTGCACAGCAAGTACACGCAGTCACACACTCATGCACAATTCCTCCACCGGCACTGCAGACCACGAACGTACCAACGCATGCAGACTCACCTCTTGTCTCCGACACCCTAGCGAGGTCCTACCAGCGGGCACAGTTTCGAAGATGCCAGCAACTAAATTCGCATCCTCACGACTCACACACACACACACACAGACGCACATCTTCGATCCCCCCCCCAACCTAACCCCCACCCCACCGCTCCTGGCGGTAGGCGGCGCTGGCCATCTCGTTGATCACCTCCTGGGATTCTTGGTGGGAGTGGGAGGGAGGAGGAGGAGGAGGAGGAGGAGGAGGAGGAGGAGGAAGAGGAGGAGGAGGAGGAGGAGGAGGAGGAGGAGGAGGGGGGAGGGGAGTGAGGAGGACATCTGGCCCGACCCCCGCCCCCCCAAGGGAGATTACCGGGCGCAAGAGACGTCGCAGCTGACCGAGCACACTCTTGCCACACTGTGCGCGCGCTTCGGGCCTGAGCGCTAGGCATCGAGTCATAACTTCGACTTGTCATGTCCTTGCGACATCTGCGACTAGAACTGATGCGAAGGGGACGCGGCGCCATCAAACAAGAAAACGAACCACGTGGCCAGGCGCGGTTCGACAATCTGGAAGAAGCGCATTTCAAGTTCGCTCGCCGAGGAATCCAACAAAGAAGGTCTCCAAACAGGGGAGCCCCCCCACCGGGTAAAAATCCAAAGGCCATCTCCGAAAACGACGACGAGGACGAGGACGAGGACGAGGACGACTGGTCGAGCAGGTGGGCGGGTTGGGCGGGCTGGCGGGGCGGGAAGGCGGGACGGGTGGGTGGGTCGCCGCCGCCGCCGTTGTTTGCCGGCGCGAGGGAGAAGGGAGAGGTCCGGAACCCACCCGCCCACCCACCCACCCTGAGCGGAGGGGGTAGGGGGGGAGATGTGGTTCGTAAGCCTCCTTCCCAGCTCTGCCCACGCGCACGTGAAAGTCGCTCTCTCATTGTGGGGGCACAAACATACCAGTACCGCTACTCCCAAAAACTCCCACGGGGCGTCGCGATCTGACGAAGATTTCGAGGCGAATCCAGCCGTGGCAACGAGGGATGGGTAGCGGCATCGGCATATTTTCCTTCCTCCTCCTCGGCGGTGCTGCTGACGCTGCAGACGCTTGCCGACCCGCCTCGGCGGGCGAAGCTGCGGTGCCAGGCTGTTCCCTTGGCCCTCGCGAGGGTTGAGGGTCTAATTTTTCTGGCGCCTTTGGCCCTCTGTCGAGCCTCCATATAGGGGCCTCCCACATGGAGGTCCGCGTAGACGGGGTCAGAGGATCGCGCCGCATCGTCGATGCATCGCCGATGCATCCGCGATGCATCGGCGACGTCGGCGATGCATCGGTGACGCCAGCGTGGAGAAAATTGGGATCCACGTCGGGCCGCATCGCCGACGATGCATCGGCGATGCGGCGCGATCCTCCGACTCCACTTGCCTGGGAGGCCTAGACCAAAGGCCTCCGGAGACCTCCGGGGACCTGGAGATCCCTGGGGAAGTCTGGGGATCTCCGCGGGACCTCCAGGAGCATGCCTTGGAGGGCAGGGTCTGGGACGGAGACTGCCCGCCAAACGATGAACCCTGCACGCACAGCCGAAGATATGATCAACAAACTGTTCGTTTATACGAAATCTGAGCCAGCTTCCTGGAGGCTTCTTCAAACAAGCCTGGGCCAATTTCCGCTGCTAACGCTGGAGGGGCAAATGTGCTCAAGAAACTGGACCGGCTTTCTGGCAAGTTTTTCGGGGAGAGGTTTAATCGGATGCGCGACTGTATTTTTCAACCTGCGGATCACCTCATGGACACTCGGGGAACCTTTGCTTACCGAATCGCGGCGCCGGCCCCGGCGACACGCTATGCAATGCGAGCGGATAGCGTGTCGCTCCGCTTCACGGGGTGAGAGACTGGGAAATGGTTGGGACGTTGACGCCTGGGAACGGGAAAGTGGGTAGCGTGTCGTGCAAAAGCGTGGTGGGCCAGAAGCAGCGGAGAGACACGCTATCCATTAGTTCCCGACGGAGGCAGAGACGGAAAACCTATGATTTTGCCTTGCCATTCGTACCCAAGTTCTGTGGCCACTGGTTGTCTGCACGTGTTGTTTGATTTTGTCTGTCCAACAACTCGCTGGACGTTCCAGATTTCGGCGGGTTGACGAGAGCAGGTCAAGGTGTTGACACTAATATACCACCTGCGCTGGCCAGTCCGAGGCCTCCACGTTGTTCACTTCCTGTGCCCATGCCCCATGTTTTACATGTGTATACCAAGGCCCTATCATCGACCTTGTAGTGCTGCATCCGTCGTGCTGCTTCGTGGGTGGCACGTTTAATCCAGTCTTGCCAAGGCTCTCATGGGATGCGTCAGTAGTGTTGGAGCTTGGATTAGTTTTGCGGTCGGAGTTGGCGATGGTGCTGGCGGCAGGGTAAATTGATATCGGACTTCTTGGTACGTGCGTGATCATGCGGAACATCTGCCACCATATGTTGCTTCGCCTCTGTTGGAGAAGCTGTGAGCCACTGAAGAGTCGGAGCCAGTCGGGTAAAACATATGACTTGTCAGAAAGCTCTTGCTTCAGCAGTTGGAACTTTCTCCCTGCAGCAGCGGTCCTGCTGCCGATGTCTGCCGAATGCTGCCCAGAAAAAGGGAATTCGTTTCCACAAGAATTGTTGTGCAATTGTGAGGCGGTATAACTTTGGTTGTCATGCTGCCATCATGTAAAACGATTTTCTGGTGGCCGTTGTCTGCGCGTAAAACCGTGACAAGTATGTGAGGCATTCGTCTTGCGCGGGCGCAGTTGGAGGCCGACGCGCGAAGCGTGCTTGTTCAGGCCAGACAGCACGCTTGCATTGTGGCTCGCAGATGACGATACCAACAAAATGTCGTGGGCGATGCGTAGATTGGTGGTGAATCTGGACCGCGTCAGGTCATCCAGGAGGATACCGATCTCCTGCTATTCACAGAGGGTTTAAAGAGTGCGCATCACGTGTTCCGCCACGCTGTTGAAGAGCAGAGAGCTGAGAGGATCACCTAGTTGAACTCCTCGCTGCGCAATGAAGCGGTTGCTCGCGCGGTGACTGCGCGCTGACTCTGTTTGGTTGGAGTGCAACGTCGCCAGCAAGCTTGCGCATGATCGCTGGACTCCTTGTTCGGCAAGCGCCGCCCAAATGCTCGCGCGCGCGACGCTCGCGAATTCCTTTTTGAAGCCGGCCGTCGCCACCCGCACGGGTAACTTAGTTGCCACTCGTCGGCCGTCTACTGCAGCATGAAGAATGTGAATGGGCGGTCGGTGGAGCTCTGGCCCGATCGAAAGCGAGCATGATCGACGCTCTGGTGGGAGTCGAGAAATTCACGTAGTCTGTTGCGGATGAGTCTTGAGAACAACTTGTACAGTAGCGGGAACGCGGCACTCGGCCTGTAACTTCCTGGCAGAATCGGGCCCCACTCTCTCAAGTAGAACTGCGACGTCGGCGTGTCACCACGCCATAGGAGCATGAGCGCGTGGCGCAAGGATCGCGCTGAAGACCGCCTCGCCTCCCTCTTTGACCATATCGGCGATGCTGCCTCTGGCGTCGGGTGCCCTGCTATTCTTGCGCTGCCAGAGTGCTATTCGTCGTCGGCGATGGGTGGGGCAGTTTCGTCGCCGGGGGCTTCGTAGTCTGCGCGAGGGAGATTGGCTTTCGCGCCATCGCGATAGAGATGGCTGAAGTGCTCGGCACACACACACACCGGCAATGGCCTGTCTGTTGCGCGCAGCTTTTCCACTGTGGTCGCTCACGCTTGCGACGCGGCCCTTCTCCTTGAACTGCTTGCACGCGACGATTTGCTTCAAGCCCATGCGATGCGTTAGAAGATGGTCGATGTTTGTTCTCTGCGTCGCCAACCAGATCGCGCCGGTGCCTGGCGGGCCCACGTAGAGATTTGCGATCGGGATTGCGCGTCGCTCATCGGCATCTCCCGTCGTTGCGCCAAAAGTCGCGCAGTGAGAATGGTTTGCGGCGCATTCGGTCAAGCCCCCGCAGGCCTTTGGTGAATCGCCAGAACGTCGAGCAGAGCTTCTTCGATCGACTCGCAGGTGTGTTGGAGATGTTCTGCGGCGCTGAGTATGTCATGCCTGTCTGTCAAGGTATGATCGTAGCTCGGTATATCCGCTGGTGGCCAAGAGAGCGCCGGTTGTTTTCGTCATCGGCCCGGCTGTCTCGACCGCTCCGGCATGCTGCGGATTCCGGGCGCGTACCCGCTCATTGCCACTGCGCGGTGGTCAGATCCCACATCGAGCGCAGCCGAGGCCCCGCAGTCCCTGGCGGTAGACCAGAAACGCCGATTGCATAGCATGTAGACGACATGTCTGGACTGTTTGTTCTGGGGCCCGCGTGCGCGCCCATTATTCGCATGCACTCACCAGTGCCCATTCGTTGGTCGCCGCCCAATATTTCAACCACTGCCCCCTGGAGTGCATCCCAGGGCCCCCCCATAATCGGATTCATACGTCGTCGTCGTCGGTTCTCTCCCCGACCATTGCTTTGCAGTCAGCAGCGCGCAATTCGACATTCGGTCTGTTTGTGTTTGCCACTGCATAAACGCAGCCCAATACATCGCGCGCATCGCGAGCGCGTTTGCCCCCGCACCAGCCGCGGGGAAAACGCGCCGTGGCCAGTCGGATGTTGAACCCCCTCCTGTGCATGTCCACGCGGGCAATGCATTCGCTGACAGGCATGAAAAATAAAATCGGAGAAACCACGGCTCGCGCAACATGACTGCAACGCCCCGGCGAGGCTCGGCGCGCCCAAGTCGCAAGAGAGCACGTCCGCCAGGCACGGCCATGCACTCTTCTGTGATGTCCCTTCTCGTCTCGGCAAATAACCACATCCCAGTGAGGATCACGCACTTCGCCCATAAGTTCCTCCAGCGCGCCGTTGCCGGCACGCCCTCGAGCATCGAAGCGGGTCGCAACGCATTTATCTGCCGGAGGCTGGACGGCGGCAGTCGTCCGAAGGATAGTGACTGCACCTGTCTCGCGCGCACTAAAATGCCTCTTAGGGGGATCGTTGATTGGGCGCGTTGAAGGCAAAATCGGAATCGGCGGCGCGGCCACACGTTAAACTGTCGAATGTGCAACTACAACCTGCAAAGCAGGTGTCGGAGCTGGAGTCGGGGGCCGGAATAGGTCTGCAGACAACCTGTTTGCCACCGCCGGAGTCTGGCACCCGGTCGAAGGCGGAATCGGGAGATAGAGTGGGC